ATAAAATACGACTTACTTGTACAAGCTCTGAGCAGGATGTTTAACAAGAAGGCTTTTGTTGCATAGATCTTGTACAAATGGCTGAATACCAAGTAGTGACTGAAGAATAGCATTCATGTAACATGTATTGCCAAGATTGGAGAATCTAATAAAAATAATATTTAAAAGAAAAATTTATTATTCACATATCAGAATAACGGAAMAAGACAAATTATTCTGGTAGCTATTATACCATTATACAAAATGGCCTTGTTGTACATCTTACCCTGTCAGCTGGAGATCATCTGTAAAACTAGGTTGAGAACTYGGCTTGAATAAAAACCTTGAAATTGTAGGTTTTCTTTTGAAATCTTTTGATAATCCAACTATCTTCTTCCTGAAATAAAGTGTTTAATTTGTAAATAATATCACCACAAATACCAAAATGTTTAGCTAAATTATTACCTTTGGAGAGGAGAAGAGACCGTACTTTTTGGTGTATCCTCTGCAAATATAATGGTATAATTTAGGTTCAATTCTTAGATTCATTTAGTAAAATATGGCTGAAATCACATTACATTTTAATGCAGTTTTTGGTGTAAACATCAAYAGTAAAGACTGCTAATGCTCTTTTCTATGCAAACCTTTAGTGCTGCTAGAAGATAGTGATGACCTATCTATTTTGGGTGATAGCGCCAACCTGTTTTGATTCATAGGAATATCAGTCACCAGATCAAAATAAACAAAACGTTGATAATAAAGCTTTTGTTGAGTATTACCAACACAAGATATTAATTCCTAACAAACCTTTTGACAGGGCTGCCAGTATTTCTTGRTCCATAAAATGCTGTTTGAAAAATATAATATACCAAATAAATGAGTTATCACAACATAAGTTAATATGGAGAAAAAWACTTGATGACGTATCATAGCAACCACTGACTTACATGATGCCGTTCCAGATGTGAAGGGAGTGCATTTTCTCTTTGTTTTTATTTGAGTTGGTGGAGAGCTTAAAATTATGACAGCATTCATTAGTAAACTTTTATCCTCGTTATTTTTTTGCTTTTCAAGCTATCTATTGACTCACCATGACAAGAATTGGTTTGTCTCATTTGATGATGCAATTTGACTTTTTTCAGTGCAAACATTGAGAGGCTGGTTCTAGATTAAAGAAAAGGCAGGTCAACCATACAAACTGAGTATATTTTTGTATCCACCTCTCTTTTTCTTGCTTTAACAGTACCTCATCATTGTATTGGTCTTCATTGTAAAGTAATGATGTGCTCATGCTGATGTTTTGTCTCAATCTAGTGCTCTTGTCTATTAGATAAAAACAAAAGAATCTCTATTTTTTTGATCTGAACTATTTATGTTTTGAACATCAATAAATGCAGCATACAAACTGATCTTTTCAAGTTATGAATGCTTGTGACATGGAAACTATCCGACGCCTTAAACAAACATTTCTTGATCGATTCAAAAATTGTAGATTTTTTTCAGGTTGCAAAAAGTGAAAAAGATGAGAGGAAAAATATGCATTCTCTGTATCAAAATGTCTAAATAATGTATTTTAATATGATCAACACTATGTGGACTTAATTACAACTATTTAATACCTTGAGAATTGCAGTTAATTGTTTCCAACATTTCAACCAATCTCTTAAGCTCTGCTTCATCTGCTTCCACTATTGAAAACTTTGAAYTGCTGTTTTTGAAGTTGAYAGTCATGCGTTTTTGCCTTGCATGAACCTCAAAYTGGTGGCTTTTTAGCTAAATTATCCGAGATTAAACATAAGTAACTGACTTATCATATCATATGCTACTAGTTATCAATCAAGTGGTTCATTCTCGTTGAGCCCAATGAGAAACATTTTCAATGATATTTTCATAAACAAACTCTTAAATTGAACAATAAGCTTAATGCCTGAGAATGGAAGGCCACAAGACAGAGCTAGGTATTGCATATTAAACATCAAACATATATAATAGCTTTTATATAAAGGTCTTAACATTGACAGCATTGCTTCTCAATACCGAGAATCGTTCCAAATCCGAATTATAAACTATAATTTGTCGTTCAACAAAACAAGACGAAATCAAGATTTATWGCTTACACCGATGGAAGACAAAGGCAGGCGACTATCAGTTTGAATTCCAATAGAAAAGCTACTAGACTTTCCCAGTCTGTACAACAACATCTTGCCATACTTGAAATCTCGCGTAGGCAGTGATATGTCCGTCTTTTTAACTTTGCCATGCACTTCACACACGACTTGATGTARACTGGAAAGCCTTCCAGACGCCATATTGAATCGTGCGAATTACCCGCCAAAAATTTTGTCACGTGTCATTACCTTCTCGTTCCAGTCCTTCTCATATGCGTCACATCCGGAAGCCGTAAATACTTGAAATCACAACACCATCCAACACCATACACATCTCAAATGGTGTCACTACCACACATTTGATTTTCCTGGTGTTTGTTTTGATGTTAGGCCATTGTTATTTYGTTTGCACGTTTCATTTCAGCTGAGGCCTGCAACCTGTTGCGCAGCCCCAACGACAGCCTAAAGATCACATATATAATCCACTTTCAAAAGTTTGGATGACTAGCCACACACAAAGGATTTTGAGGACAAGGCTTTTGGTAAACAATAAAGTGCAATCTTGCTGTTGCCATGGTGCATAGTTTTCAGTTATGTTGTGCAGTGACATTTTTTTTCCGTTGATGTTTAGCCTGTGTACATCCATTTCTCATCCCTCCAAAAAAATCGAGATGGGTGAGAAACGGAAGTACAGAGGCTAGTTGATGTTAGGCAAACTTGCCCTCCCACTTTATTTATTTATTTATTCATTTATTTCAGTTATAATTCTTTATACAGYACTAATATTTGGATACATTACCAAGCARCACATTCAST